TGGTATGATTAGGATCAAATATAAAAACCAAGAACCGGTTCGACACCAAACCGGTTCTTGAACGGTTAGGGATTTGGTATAGCTTGAATCTTGACTAATGTGAACCCAAAAGATCACATTTTTGCTTATATACGTGACTCAAAAATGACTGTTCTTTAGTTGGATTCTTGTACTGAGACTTTTTTAATATATATAATTATGGTAATTCACTGTATCTGTGGTTTAAGCACTTAATCTTACCAGCTAGAGCGACCATGTCAGTGACGGAGAGACCCTGAGCATGGAACTTGGAGATGATGCCGAGGAGACCCTCTTCTGCAGTTGGAAGGTTTGAGGTCGCTAGCTCGTAGCTTGCTGTTTTTGAATCTTTTCTTCCAACTGGAACATCCCAGTAAGGCCCTCCTACCTTCAAAAACCCGAGAGAGAAAAAAAAAACGTTTTGTTACTGCTGATTCAATAAGGTAGAGAATGTCGATTTTTGATTTACCAGGATGACGGCATCTCTAGCAGCAATTGTGAGAAGATCGGCACAGGAAACGAGCCCGGGACACTCAGATTCGAGCATGTTCTTGATTCTGTCTATGATCTTGAACCCTCCCACCGATTTTATGTTGGCTGAAGCTGTCTTCTCCCCTTCAAGTGTGACTGTATCGTCTAGCAACACCGATCCATCACATCCCTGCAATGCAATTGTGAGTAAACCATCCATCCATCCATTCAAAAGGTTATCTCTCTCTCTTATAAACTCCACACAAATGCATTACCTGGACGAAGCAATCATGAAAGTGTAATCTGAGAATGATAGCCGCATTTCTAGGATCCTCCTTCACAGCGCATTCCATTTCTTTCTTGATGACCTCAAACACAGTAGGGCAAGTAGACTTGTAGTAATCTAGGGACAAGGGAAGATCTTTTCCCGTAACATCAAATGAAAAACCCGGTCTAAGGACAGAACAGACGACCAAAAACACGGCGAGAAGTTTCATTTTTTGTTTCTGAAACCC